ACGGAAGCAGTGGGCTCACATGGCACCCACCTGTAGAGACATGTGCTCGCAGCCAACATTAAGCTGGCATCAATTTTGAATCTTATTATATATTCCGCATCTACGTTATTTAATTATGTAAACATTAAATATGCAGATTGGCTCTATGTTACCAAATGAACAGGTAAGTACTATAAATAATAATCGTCGCTTTGTCTTGTGGGATGACTACCTAATTGCCTTTTATACATAAGTATCTGCTTTTTAAGGATTATTTATCTCCATAGGCGATTAGTCTTTGAATTATTACATTGTTATTATTATGTACATTGAATATATAGATTGATTTTGATGAACTGTTTTGCCGCCAACTCATAAATAAAGCAACCGAATAACAAAGCATTACTTCTGATAGAAAAAACACATTGACAAAATGATGGACGACGAGAGAAAAAAAATGTTTTGTATAACAAGAGAAGATCGTGCGTAACTTGACACCGTGTCCATTTTAGTTTACTCCAATTTCACACGGTAGAGTAATAAAGACATTGTAACTATGTAAGTGACGTGCCTATACGTGGAAACTGCATGAAATATGACCAATTTAGGATTCGTTAACATATTTCAAAGGTTGAACGAGACACCCGGAAGTCGTTTTATTAATTTGGTGAATAGTTTGGTAAATAGCCTCGATTAGCGAATTATAACAAGGTTTTTCCTAAAGTAATTAAAACTAATGCGATTGTAACTTAGAGTAAACCTTATGCTTTATATATCTTTAATTTTTTAAGAGTTGCAATTTAAGAAAAGCCAGCCCAATAACATAATAACTTATCATTTGGCAGTGATGATATTTTGCCAAAAATGTCATGTTGTTTAAGAATGTAAAGTTTTAATTGTAAAGCGTTTATCTCATAAAAGCACAACTCTTATCAGTCGTATTTGAGTTTGGATTCTTGGATGAATATGATCTAATATTACGTAGATGAACCTCGCTAACCATCTTGTCGTGTTTCCATTGCCGATTTGTGACAAAATAACATTGTCGTCTCGTTTATTGTATAGAAAAATTATGTAACAAAATTGTATTTTTATTTATATGCATTCTCATCAATATCCGTAGTGAAAACCCACGATTACGATATTATCTTGCAACAAACATATTTTAAATAGCAACTGATTAAAAAGGAAACTCTTATCGCCTCCAACATTCATAAAATTAAGTTATATATTCTAATGAATCATTGTTTTGATTAAAATATATATTTTTCTATGACATTGAATCATCGCATAGAAAATAAATGTGCATTACTCATTATACAGTCGAAGGATATAACAAGATATGTAAAACTAGTGTATAATATAAACAAGATTGTTAATTCATGTTAAGACGATAATAAATATAACTTAATAAAACTATAAAGACAAGGCTAAGTAACATCAACATTGCTCCCATTAAAAATAACAGATACATAATATTAAAAATAATATATAAATAAATCTTAAAGTACTCGTTTGCAGCAAGAATATTAACGATATAAAACTACTCTACCTTTTAGTAATGCATCCAATGAAAATATTCACTTTTAGTACTATCAAAACTGCACGTTATAAATTAAAACTTGAAAAGCAAACTGTCTGCCTGTTGCAGGCGTTCGTAGCACAAAAACCTTCCCGCTCGAATGCGAATCGAAACGAACAAAGTTCGAACACACAATGCACGTCGTCGCGTTGCTGCGGCCTCGACTGACGCTTAGGTCACAAGCGTAAGCGATTAGCTTTATTTAGCGGTATTTTATTCCATGTCATTCTTTTTGGCATTAAATAATTTTTGTAGTACAACTGATCGCATAGTGTATTTGTATATTATAATCTGGGGCATTTACGTAAGGGTTGACAATCTCTAATAAAATTCCCATAGCTGTTATCCACTAGCAAATATTTAGACATAACTGTAACTGGTTTTTAATCTTTTTCAAATCTATACTGTGTACCAGCTTGAATGAAGCGATTCGAAGTATTTTTGTGCATCTAGCAGCTGGTTTCTTCACGTTGGTATTCGGGTTATATTTAGAAAAATAAAATTTTAATATTTATTAACGTTATGGGATAGTTCATCAGTTCACAGAAACACAATCATTATGATTATCGCGAAGTTTCATAAATTGGGCCAAAGTTAACGGTGGTATGGAAAACTGGCTGGTGAGTCAGCCTCGTGGCTGGATGACGACGTCACACGGTCGCTCCTGAGTAACGCGGGATGGTAGTATAGTCGTGCAGAGATTTCTTCCAGCGGATATTTGTAAAGCGAACAGTAGCCTGGGCCGCGTGCGAAACGATCCAAAAGGACCGGTTCAACAGGCGGCATATTTACTGGTTATAATGCTCGAACCGGCCGCAACGTTACGAGGCCCGCGACCACTCTAAAGCGAGATGTTTTTTGTGAGCCGGGAAAGAGGTCATTGTGATACGATCTCGTGCTTGATTCAATGTCATAGATTGCGATAGCCATTGTTGGTAGCAGTTATAAGAACTACTAATAACACGTATTATAATGTAAATTTGATGCAAACAGTTTAATGTCAAACATAATAAATTTAAGATTGACCATTGGGAAAAAGGAGCGGTGGTTGTTACATCTCTTATATCTCTCTTTATCCAATCTTGAAGATGCGAATGTTACTGACATGTTATATCTGCGACTGTATCATGTGTAGCTAAGGTTTGGGTTATATGAACTGCTTTGAGAATTTTGTATAAAGAATGCATGTAGTTATGGATACAAAATGCTGTCAGTTCATGTACGCCGGCCCTTGGCCGCGTCGTGAAAGTGTCGGCGCGCTGACGGCCTCGGCGTCTGCGCTTCGATTGCAACACATTTGGCTACTTTATTAATCCTAGTCTAGTCGGACACGTGTTCGGTTAAGGCAGACTTTTTGTTGTATTATATTGAAATAAACATATTAAAAATGTATCAATAGTGCACAAGTATCATTTACACTCTCATAAATATAACATTGTATAATATACTTCGCAATTTTACTCTTGTATGACTGAAAACTAACAAATCATCAAATCAAAATGACCGAAGGTTGCAGTACCCAACCAGAATTGTGATAGAGGTGATGATTGACTGATGTTCAGCAGTGGACAGCAATCGGCTTAGATGAAAATGCAAATATGCACTAAACTTACGTAACAAACGTACATTCAACTGTATTATGTTATTTAGTACTCACCAGGATGGTGTGGTGGTGAGTTGCGCGGGCTCGCATTCGGCGTACCACGAAGTGCGTGTCCGCGGCCCTTTGTCCTTCCGAGATAGAGTTGGCAACAGCCGCTTCAATTCTGTACCACATCACGAAGTTTAATTAATTATATTTGTTACGTCAATTAGTTCAATTTATACTTATATGGTGGTAATAAAATAATTTTAACTTTGTATTTAACTAGGTATAATGCAGTTCAAAAATTTACATTTGGGATCAAAATTAATTAAAAAGTTGAAAATGTCATTGCTTTTTTTTTTTTAAATATATTGATATACATATTATAATATACCATTCCATATTTAAACTTGTACATTGAATGATATGAAGACATGGAATACAATGTTAAAAGTAGGTACGTAAAAATTGTGTTCAGTGTAAATCTCAAACGTCACAAAACTGTCCTAGTTCTCGTGTCCCTCAGTGTACAAGTCTGTGTTGGGAGTATATAATAAATAGTGCATTATTTATATATTTGTATTAACTACAGCGCATATGCGCAAACATCAAATGCATGCAAATACTTTATTATTAACTATGGCCGGTTGGATGCATTGCAAACACGTCATGCGACAATCATGCGAGAGAGACACATTTGTTCTGATAATAGGAAGATACTACAGATATAATTAAACCTAACTGTGGATATGTGAGACTAAAAACCCCGTTGTAAACATTTCGTCATACCTGTCAATTATCTTTGACATGTTTGAGATAATATGTTTTAAAAGCGTATTTTGTACTCGGAAACTCTTGGTAAGCAGTATTTGTAACTAAAATTATTCCTTGATGTAAAAGTGTGTAAAGATGAACGTAGTTTTTAATAAGGTGCCGACTGATAGATTATTTAAAAAAAACGCGACAAATTAAAGATTTTATTTGTTTTATGAATTATTAAAGATCTGCGCAAATGTTTTCTATCTTAGTGTTGGTTGTTAAAAACAAACTATGCTATTTAAATATTAATTATAAATTGTTTTTTATTTGTATGTATAGAAAAAAAAACTCACGTCCCATGTTAAACATTCAGCGATATCGCGACAGGACACAAACAATATAAATTAAATGTAATTATTTCACATAGATGACGTCACGACGCTGACATCGCGTGGCGCTGCGCGTGCGCAAGGATAGACTGAGAAATGACAATGGCTTCGTTGAGATTGCGAGCCCACGGAGCAAGGCGTAATTGCTTTAAATTGTTTTTAATAATGGGTCTGTAATTATTGTTCGTGTAAAGTGAAACAACTATTTGAAGATTTTCCTGTTGCATTGTGATATTTATTCAAAGTTTTTAATAATTTTTATAAATTCGTCTAATTTTTTTTTAATCCTTTGTATATAGTCGACTAAACTGATAATTTTAGCTATATATATTATAAGTTAATACTAACCTCGGACTAATCAACCCCAACCTATTACCATCCACTAAAAGTAGGAGCTTGAGTGAGGTAATAAATATTATTTGAAATAAATCATCATAATAGTAAAAACTGAACCACCTTAAATGTCATAGATTAAGGTCAATGAAAAGTTAAATTCACCAACAAAGATAAGAAAAGATAAGACATATTGAAGTAAAAAAGAGAAGAAAGATACAAGGAACAGTGCAAACATGACATTCACGAAGCTTGACCGCTGCAACCAGACGTCTCCTGCGACTGGAAATAACTAATATATCAAATAACAAATATATTTGTTGGTGTAAAACAGACTAGATATATATGTACAGACTATATAATCAGAGACAAATAGATAAATTAGGAAAAAAGTAAAAATAAGGTTACATAAACAGTTCTCTCAAGTAAAAACAAATGCAATTTAATCTACGTTTTTTTTTGCTTGGAAGTTTGTTTTTTTAATTCGAACAAAACTCCACTTGTTTTGTTTTCCTTTTAAGTTCAATTAAGTGTTTATGGAAAATTCTCTCGATTTAGTTAAATGATTAAATTAAATCCTCCAAAATGTATGTGAAATAATATTAATTGATGTCATAATATATTAGTTATTCTCAGCATTAGGAGCTCTGACCTTCATTTAGCGCTGTCTCCGTATATTTTGGTGTCTGTTGATATTTAATTTATAAAACACTTGAAGTATTCCTTGAGACGACATGGACGATACGGACAGACGTCAACTGAAACCTTAATTCACCTTCATTAAAACCACTCTGTCCTTTCAAGAATTAACTCATAACAGAAAAGATACGTTTTTACATACTCACTCTTATATCTCAATCTTATAAACCGAAAATTTAGACATAAGAACATTTTATAATTATTAAAATAAATTTTGATAAATGCTATTGTAGATTTAAATTCTTCTGACATTTTTAAGTAAAGTAATGTATTTATTTGCGAGTACAATAAGTGTGTATGTTTGGTAGTGTAATATGAAATCCAATGTTAAATGTTGCCATTTAAAAATTAGCTGTTACTAGGTATATTTTATTTATTGAGTAGTTTTTGTCTACTAGTAGTTGATGTCTGTTGTGGTGGGTACTGCTGCTTGTCCAGTTGACGCCTGCACGTTACCTTCATTGACAGCGCTAAGGTCAGTGTGGGGCACGTGCTGCACGTGGGGCGCATGCGGCGCGTGTGGCGCGGGCGGCACGTGGGGCGGGTGGGGCGCGTGCGGGGTGCGTGGCGCGGGGGGCGCAGGCGGCAAGTGCGGAGCGGGCGGGACGGCGGGGGGCGGCGGGGGTGGTTGCGCGGGCCGTTCTAGCGTGGGCGCCAGACACGGGGAGGACTCCGCCCACGCGCGCGTACCGTCACGCCGCCGAGACGACGCCGAGAGCGTGTCCGTGTTGGTGGCACCACTGTCGCTGCTGTAGGAAGAGAAAGGTATTAACGACGAGTAAAAAGTGTAGCATTATTTAGTGGAATTGTAAAAAAATATGAATAAAAGAATACCAGTTGCTGAATCCAGAGTCACCGTCCATAGAGTCTGTCAAGTAAAACGTGGAGTTGGTGATCTTGAGGGCGCTGGGTACTTCCGAGTTGAGGTCCACCGCCATCGATGAAGCTCTCCTAAACCGAGACTTGAAGGAGAAGTACGTCTTCCGCGAAAGAGTTCCGGTGTCCTTTTTGGTCTCATTGGTGGGTGTAGTGGGCTTTTCTTGTGGTGATCCCGCATCGCCGTTACTATGTCTTTTATCCCCACTTGCTGCCTTACTCTCCTCTTTGAAACCCACTTTGGCTACAGTATTGTCGCTTTTAGTGCTTAAGTTTCTAGATTCGTTAAAGGCGATATTCGTGTAATTAGATTGAGGCTCGGGTCTCTCGTAATTGGCATAGATCGGTGATCTCATTTTGGGTTTCGGCAAGTCATATGTCCCGTTTTGTTGTGAGGGTTTGGCGAAAGGTTTGCCGTCCATAGCCACTGAAACAAGCAAAGGTTAATTAAAAAAAAATTATGTTATTACGTGATGTAATATTTTAATTCAAGCCTGATGATTTACGCTAACATCAAAAAATGTCACTGGCACCTGACATTGGGCATTTGCGGTCCGACAAGTTCGTATTCGGTATCTCGTCACACCTACGTATAATATGACTAATCTGGTCGATGATTGTAAAAATAACACTAAAAAATCGAAATACATTGTAAAAAATATAATTGTTATTCAATAAGAAAATGATGAACCTATTGCTAATTTCTAAATAGTCCCTCAATATCCGATATGGTCTAGTGGCTAGGATACCTGGCTCTCACCCAGGAGGCTCGGGTTCGATTCCCGGTATCGGAATACCTTTTTGTCCTTTTACAACAAATGAAATTTCGGAAAATGTTTATAAAATTAATTGTATCCAAGGTATTGAAATTTTACTGCAACTGTATTTCCTTCAAATTTTCTAGTATTATGACAATAAAATAACAAAGTTGAATCGATAGTAAAGTATACGTACAATTCTGAACTACGAGTATAATTTGTTTGTTATTTTAATTTGAGATATTTTTACAGCCAAATTTTAACACAACAATAAACAGAACACTGTGAATAAAGCTATTTAAATAGTCTCACCTGTGTATCGTTTAGTGAGATTACGTTTTATTTGTCTCATCTTCTTCTGCGCGGCGTTCGCGATCTTGGTGAGAGTGTAGGGTCCGCCGCCATTGGGTGGCGTGGGCAGTCTCGTGGACGGCACTTCTGGAGCGGTGCGTGTTGGTCCCGACTGAAATAAAATACGATGAATTTATAATTTATCTTTCTAATAACTAGCGGACCGTCCCGACTTCGTACAGCTTAATATTGATTTTTAAACATTTTATAATGTTTGAAGACTTTTTAAAATCGGCCATTAGTTTTTTATCGTAGGTATTTCTTACTAAGTATCTGGCTTTGTGGAATTACTGATGTTATCAAATCTAGTTTGGTGACTTCTTTTAAATAAACTATTTCACCTGTTCATGATCTTCAGAGTCGGTGTCACTATCGAATGAATCGAAGTCGTCCTCAAGCGGCAACACGTGTGACCCCGCACTCGCGTGTGCCCCGTGTGCAGCGTGTGCAGTGTGGGCGACGTGCGTTTCGTGGGCAATGTGGGCCATATGCGCCGGGTGCGCGGGTACAGGCGGTGCAGGCTCCAACGATTCATAGAAATGACCGGAATCACTGCTGTCGCCATCTGGAATTAGAATATTTACATTAAAATAAATCAAAGTTTAAAAATACACATCATGGTGGTACGATCTCATTTAAGTGTCGTAACAAATCGAGAAGAAATAAAATAAAGGATCGTACATAAATAATCAATCCTTTGAAGTTATTATGTTTCCGCATGGTACATATTTTTGTTTAAAAATTGTATGATATTTTTAAAGATATATACTAAATGAATATGAAAAAAGAATTTAAATACTCGTAAGTGCATAGCGTAGCTTTCATAGTACAGAAACAGATCCTATTGTAATCAAAGAATCATGTTGAATAAGTGGGTCAAAATGTTACGTCAAATGACGTCACACGGTGTTGTAACTGTAAACATGTTTCTTGTCTGCAACGTGCTTCACCTGTAGTTCAGTCACTAGAAAATGTTTTTTTTTAAACAATTGTTTTATCTCTTGTAATGTCACTGAATTAAGTTAATTTTTCACTAAGGATCGAATATCGTTCTTTAAATACTTACCATAAGAGCTATAATTTAGCATACTTATATGTTTCTTTGATAATATTTCAATCTAAACGCATTTTGAACGTCAAATGACATTTTATCCATGGGTAGGAAATAAACTTCCTTGACTGTACCTTCTAAAATTATAATTTGTACGAGTTTGACAAAAGCGAGTGATCCGCGTATCGGAAAGTGAGAATGCCGAACGACTTATAAAATGTCAAGGGTGCGATGCACTGGGCGGTTACATAAACACAAATTGCCTGTGCCGAGTGGCGACATGACTTGGCTGACGCAAGTGCGCAAGCAAATCTGTTTAAATGTAAGCTAACATAACCAACAAATTCTAGTAACCAACGCTTTATGTAGAGAAGACTATATTTAACTGAAACAAGCAAAGAAAATAATGCGGCACCAAAATTGTGACATGTAACTTAGGATATTCTCTAGCATCTCGTTGGGGACGTACTATATTCGAAATATAAATGTCATGGTAAATATTGGAAATGGCCACTTTAAATTGGTGTAAAAAAGCTGGTCAGATTAATAATTAATCAAGATATTGAAAATATGGCAATTATGGTTACATCATAATGTAAACCTACAGGCATGCATATTTTAAAATATATTATTCCATAATTATTGTAGTTTTATGTCAAAAGGTTTCATTTCCTTTTTAGTTTTTATTTGGCACATTGAAAAATCTTTATCGCCTGCCGCCATGTTGTATAAAAAACAAAACACTAACACCTCTACGTCTATTTCTTCGCCTCTTAACGCGTTGCACACATCATAATAAACAGTAATCATTAAAATATCAATGAATAATTTCCACTATTTCTCGATATTGCGATTCTAAATATTTATAAAACTAATCTGCTTTTGTCCCTTTGTTAGTCTGTGGCACAATGGCAAGAATTCCATTGACTGTAATCACGTTGAAGAATGCAAGGCTCTCAATATAATACATTATTTTTAATAAATATGTTTATAATCTATTTGCGATAATTTCATTCACCGCGATCATTCATAAGATAATTGAACATAAATAAATATTTGTTGTTTGTTAAATGTCGAATAATTAAAATAATGTTACTTAAAATTTGTCCGTGTTCGATATCCTTATGTACTTGTTTAATTTAAGTTATTTTAAAACGCTATGCAGATACTTTTATCTAGAATTATTTGACTAATATTGGGTGTTGTTACATATGTATAACATTGCTATAGGACCGCATTTAAATTTACATAAATATGTCTGTCTGTACCAAAATCGGGACCTCTAAAAAGTTGAAAAATCGTCAAAGGTGAAGACACAGTAAAAGTTGATAGAAGATAATAACAGGTACACTGTAATATCGCACTTTGGGTATTCATAAGATCAAATTTATTAAAAGAAAATATAAATCTTAAGTATTTTAGAACCTAAAAAAAATTTAAAAGTTCCTATCGTACCATAAAATCATCAATATGTAGTCAGTACCAACTGACTAGAAGGAAATGAAATCAAAGCCCATTAAAAGATCAAGCAATTAAATCCTTACTGCTAAATATGTTCCGAAATGGTAGATTGGAGTATGACACTGTAGCGTACACCCTCGCTTCAGTGTTAAAGCTGTTAAGCAAACACCATTCAGTTATCGAGTCCTGTCCCTGTGCTGTGTATATGATCTTCATATTGGTTTCCTATCTGTTCACTTCCAAACAATATGCCACTAGGCTTCAGCACTAGTTAACTTCACATGACACGGCATGTTCACTTGACACCCACGCGAGAACTGGCAATATAACAATAGAAAATAACCCAGCCCAGAGAATTATTGACAAACATCAGGTCGCTCGCGTCAAATACAAAGGCGTTCAATCAAAACAACCACATTCATTCACAATCAATGCTATAAGAATTTCAAAAACAACGGAAAAATTATGTAAACAGACACAATCCGTAGTCCTTTGTTTCTGTGACATAAGGTTGCGTGATTAATGATTCCAATGATGTTCGAGATTTACGAAGGATCTATTGCCGTGTTATTTTATCATCTTGTTTACTGACGAACCACAATTGTAATCTGAGCGTTGATGAGACTTTTAATACTTGTCATAACGCAAAATAAACTAACAATAAATAAAAACATCACTGGCGTGACTAACAATAACAGTTTTGAATAAGGCAAAGTCCCGGAATTACTGAGACATTCTTTTCTGGGACCATGAGATTAATTTGTTTAAAACTGCATGCATTTTAAACAGGTAAAACTTTGACGAGGCATGGACTCATTTTATAAATTCATATTTCTTGCTTGACACTTAACACTACTACATATAATTGATACCACTAACTAAATGTGAAAAGTATGTCGAGGATATCTAATCCTAAAGGTTTTAGGTTTCAAATATTTTTGGGTTGAATTTATGACCGAATGCAATAACGAACACAAGAATAAAGTTCTTGTTCTAACGACCGTATAGTAATTTGTTAAACGAGTGTACACTTAGTTATTATTGTATCACGTTTGAAATCCATTATTGCGAATAATTTCCGCATTTCAACAACGCATTGTAGTTTAGGGATTGTAATGGATCAATGTTAATTGTTTTAAACAAAACATAACTTGTTTGTTGAACAATATAATTACCGATAAATGCAACAAGATCTTGAATCTCGATCTCGCCATCTTGTAGTACAGTCCTGATGCAGAGCCAGCAGGTTTGCTCCAAGACTTTTATAACCGTCACTCTGTCATCAAAGTCATCGTTGAGTCCGCGCCGGACTCTCCTGCCGGTCTGCTCGTCGTTGGCGCTGTAGTGGGGTGACTTGGCGCTCGTCTCGATGTACACCTTCGTCGGTGATGTAACCGAAACTATGGGAATTACGGCAGGTCAAGGTACGTTTTCTATTTGTAACACAATTTGACTTTAAACTCGTCGAAAAAGAATACCCTAGTTCTTTTGTCGTTTGTTATATCTATTAAAGTTTGTGGAACTAAATAATATTGTTGAATGTGGGAACTCTCAGTCCAGTTAATGACCGGCGAGCTATGCGCTCGAGCTACGGTTGCTGTTTCAATATCAGCTTGCATTGCAACGGAATTGATTAGCAAACTTTACGCACCGGGCGCTAAAAAGGGAAATCTGGTCGGACGAGTTTAAAGTCAATATTGTTACAACAATACTGAGTCATCGAGGACTTGCGACACATTTATCTCAAAAATATAAAATGAACCTTGATCGCCGCAATTCCTTCGAAAAGTCCGCGGCCTCGCGGGCAGCGGCGGCGCCACTCCGTACACTGGCGACCGTTCCGATACCATTTTTCACCATTTTTTATCACTTCACTACATCACTTGCACTTTCACAAAGCCTTTACGAACAACGCACTCGACGCGGAAGCTGTAGATAGTGGAAGTCGTCAGCTGTTTATCCATTTACAGAGTTAAACGAGAACTAAGCGCACTTTCATTAAAGAGTGGTCGAGTTTCCTGGTCGATTTTACATTTTAAATCGAGAGGAAAATCGATGTTACATGTCAAAAAGTTTATAAAACAGATTGGACGATTGTAAACCCGAAACGTTCTCGATGTCCGAATGGTCGGTAAGTATTCGGTCGACTATTCAAGTAGTGAGTCGCAGTAAAGTGGCAAGTCCCCGGCAGCTGCGTTCAGGGTCGCCCAGTGCGGCCGGTCGCCTCGCCGCCGCCTCTAAGAAACCTGAGTCTTTTTATTGGTCACAATGTTGCCAGACACACCATTGAGGACGCACGAAATAAATCTATTTATTGACATTGAAATCTGTTGCTCTTGAAAAAATACTGCTCGTTAAGTCTGTTATTGTAATGTCGTTAAGGCCTTTCATTCATTAATTTGTTTAGATTTGACGATGTTAAGTTTTCTAAACTAATATTAAAGTTCATTTGTACTAGCACTACAGATGAATAAGGTACATTTTTAATAGATAGGTAATTAAAAAGCTAAAGAGCGCAGTTCATATTTCGCTCCTCCTACTAAATATATTGTTACAGTTTACGTGAATGCAGAAAAGAATAAATATGTTATAAAGACATTATATTACTTATTAGATATGCAATTATAGTGGTGATTGTTGCAATACAATAAAGTGTAATCAGTTCGCTGTACTATTAGAAAAGACTGACTGGTTTTGTGGCATACATCATAAAAACGGATAAAAAAACATATTCTCAAATGAAATAAAAAAATGTCACCTCGAATATTATGGAGTACTGTTTTGTATTATTATACAATTGAATAATTTCAATGTGTTCTAGTAAGATTCTAATTAGAAATTAGTTATCTAGTAATTTAAAGACCTAAAAGTGTGTTAAATGATGTGAGCATGATTTAACATATTAAGTTCAAATCTAAACCGAATTTAAAGTAAACGCAGAGTAAGAGATATGCACTGAATTTAGGAATATGGTAATTTGTTCGCATAATTATTTGTGCGTGGAATGCAACGTCGACGTCGAAGTAGTGAAACCAGAAATGTCTGCCGAATGCGGCAACAACGATTAATTTAACACTGAATCTATATTATATTGTTAAATTGCAAATGACTCATAGTACAATGATACTAAATCAGGCATATTGTAACTATTCAGGGAATAATCTTATAAATGTCCTTAGTTTTATATGTAAAGTCTAAACGGATTGTAATTTGGGTAGCAGCCCAGATTAGTTTTTGCTTCTAAAAGCTAAAAAGTTAATATTACATTAGATTTTTTATAATTTAATACGAAATTTAGAATTGTACCGTTTTCTTAAATTTGTGCTAATTCATCATCATCATCATCAGCTCACTATAAGTCCCCACCGAGGAGCTCGGAGCCTACCCTTACTTAAGGGTGACTAGGCCATAGTCAACCACGCTGGCCCAGTGCGGGTTGGTTGATTTCACACATTTATGTGTATGGTTAAATGAAAATATTCGATATAATCGAAAATTGTTTTGTAGGTTGGTAAAAATTGTTTCAAGCAACCCATGACTTCGATGACTTTCTTTTGATGTCTATCAAATGTTATATAAATGTTATTCCCTTTAAGTTAAACTGCTTTAGCGCACGCGTATATTGTCGATCTGATGTGGCATGAAGAGAGCGAACATACACCATGCTTTCTATTCCCAAACGTTAAAAAAACAACATTTTCTTTGTTCTATTTGTTGTCTGCGTTCAGCTTCTATTTCTATTGTATAGTTTGATTCGAAGATTGCTGAATTTAATGTGAATATTCTGTAAATAATAACCGCAAAATTACACTAGACTTATATTAAAATATACTGTTGTCCCTTTCTTTTCAAAGAGAATGAAAAGGGATGAGATATGTAAGTTTCGACAGTGGAAAAAATCAGTTAAAGTTTTGTCAAACGAAACATTACATAATGTTTCTTTTTTATTTTTAGAAATTTCCATTTGTTCCGTCAAATTCGTTTTCTATAATAAATCATTTTTGATTTGGAAAGTTGTGTTATGAAACCGTATAGAAATGTATAAACGTTGTTTGTAACTTTTTGTATGTAAAGAACATTACACCAATCATTGCTTGATTATATCATTGTTATTTTAAAGTCAAAATATTAGAGCTGAAGTATTAGTCACAATCTAAAATTGAAATAAACGATGATATTCGATACGGATGTAGGCATTGAACTTTCGAATGGTAGTGTAAATAATTTTGATAACTAACCGTGAGTTCCTGATCCAAAATCTCAGTTTAAAAGATATTGTTATCTCTGTTTTGTCAAAGATAATGACAGGGATGACGATATGTTTTAAACGGATATTTTGGTGTCAGAAACTCACGCTTAGTAGCTTTTTTGATCATGACTTTTCTGAAAAACATCATTGTGAGATGTTTCATACCGCGAACGATTATGTTTGTATAATTTTACTGTAAAATTATAAAGTAATTTATTTTTTACACCTTAACTTGTTAAATTTAACATAAATAATTATTATTTCACTTGAGTGCACAATTTGTACAATCGAATGAATATTGATCGATTAAATGAGTAAATAAATCGAATCGTGAATTCCGGCCGAACATTCGCAGTTCCGCATTCGAACTCTGTTATTGAACAGTTCCATGTTTATGTCCTTCCTATATCTGCATTATACGGATACGTGCAATGTTTAATGCAATGCGATTTCAACATTTTTGGTCGATTTTTGGAAAATACGTAGGTAATAAATTTACAATTTTGTTTGTAAAAAACTTTTCCTCAAAAACATTTTTAGAAAACTAAAGTGAATTGAATGCAGTGTTTTATATTTCAGAAAATTGTTTAAAAATAACCATGACTGGATCAAAGATGATAAGTTACGGTTAAAGTTAAAATCGCATTCCACTTAACTCCAATGTAAACTTAATAAAAAATACTCTATAAATCTGTTTATATCAGATGTAATAAAATGGAAGGCGAACTCTGAATGCAACTTAATGTGTAACTTAATTAAACTTAACATAATGCTAATGATAATAGCCTGGTCAAGTGCAGACAGCGTGAGATGGCAGATTACGTGATCAATTAACATTCAAACTTAAATTTTAAATTATACATCGACAATGAGTTTCATTAAATGTCAACGACTGAGTCCGTTGTTGCTACAAATCAACATCTATGTAATTACTTAGCTAAGTGGCACTCAAGTAAGATAACAATGACACTGGCCACTATATGACGTCAGTATGCTATTAATAAAGTTGACAACAAAGAAAAAAACGTATCTTTTTGCGTTAAGTTGGTACTAAGTTAGTGGTGTAATATTTGCCGGTTGATTGAGCGAAATACGGTTTTCGGTAAACGGAGCACCGTGAAAACAATAGATAATGCTTAAACTCAGTAAACATTGTAATTTTAATGAAGTGCAACGGTACGTAACCAAAGATAAAGTACAATTAGATGATAAACAAACTCATAGAAAGTTTTAGCATACATGTAATTTACGTAGTTAATATTCCGCGCACTTAAATCTCGCGACACATGTTTTTTTTAAAAAACAAATGACGAATTCAATCATAGATTAACTCAAATAGAGAATGTTCAAAGTAATATTTGTTCACTGTTTTATTGTATGTTTTAGTTACTTTCACAGTCGCGAGGTGGCGCGCGGTGGCGTATCGCACGTCCGGCGAGCTGCGCGGGCGCAGGGCTAACTTGCGATCGCTCTGCCCCCTCCCACGGCCAGTGCTCAGACGCCGGCACAAAACGCCATATTTGTCTCACCCCTTTGAACACGTTTTGTCTGATCTTAACATTTAGTTTGTCTTTGGTCTTTATTTAAAGCCTTTCTAGTTTAATTTTAAGTTTAAAAAAAATCATCTTAATGTTTGTTTTTTAATATGTTTGTGTTTCTAATTGGAACCTTTAGTTACAAATATTTTTTTTGAGCGCAGAATAATAGTAGCTTATAATTTGCCTGTACGCATCAGCTACCTTCGGATCAAAGTACATCGGAACAAACGCGTTTTTATAGACCTGTTCGGAAAATAATGACTTCTTTCCAATATTACAAAGTAGGTAGTAGGTACTCTAATTTTTTATTAATGGTACAAATTCTTTTCATCCAATGTTATTGAAGATTTGATTTTATGTACAAAAAACGTAAGTGACTTTGATCTTAAAAGTATTCAATAATTCATAAGAATTTATTAGAAAACTGGTCAAACAACTTAACAACGACATTGATAAATCATGAACGATAACGCGCATAAATTAACAGTCCAAATAAATGTACATGAATATTAGCTTAAGAATTGTATAAAACCAACTTTGATATCAGAAACCAATACATTATCCGAAATTTATTGCAAAATTCATTGGAATTACGTTAAAAAAACATTTAAAGCGGCGCGTAACAGTTGTGGAACTGTGACGTAACGCAAATTCTTTAACTGGAGCAACTGAATAATTGATCCCACGTTCGAATTCTGTGCCTTCGTCTGATTGATCTTGGCTAGGGTTGTCCAAATATAGTTTTATAAACTCACTATGAATTACACATATAAAACTATACAAGAGTACAAATTAAAGTGTATTTTATTTCTAAAACTTTGTGATTTTTCAATTGAACAACCAATCCTAGATATTATATGTACTTTGAAGTTACCTTTTATAGCATTTACATCTTATAATAGAAAATATTAATAATTTAAATTAAAGAAATTGAATATTTTGGAATTTAATAAAAGCATATTTAATTGTCTTACCTTTGACATCCCTAACTTTCCTCCTGACTACACAGAGTTGAATGTTTTGTCGTGTATTAACCAACATTCTAATCAAGTTTTCATCTAGTTGAGCGACACCGATGTTCCTGTTAATCTATGAAGGAAATTACGTGATCGACTACGGAATTTCCTGATATCTAGTTTGCATTAATACTACAAACGCTAGTATCACATTACAATCTTAAATTTACTTATAATTATACTATTCTGAAACCATATTTCCGTATAAAAAATAATTTGTACCGCCTACATGTTTTATTGTCTTAGTAATAATACTGTAGAGTTTACTGTACTTTACAAATGTAAATATTTAATTGAAATCTATGGTTTTAACGTATGTTTACTTGTTTCTACTAAAATTTTACAGTTGTTAAACGCTCCCTAAAGTAGTTTCCTTCAGCGAATATGTGTTCATTGAAGAAATCCACATGCAGGGATTGATTAAATGACCATTGAACTACTCTGAGTATCAGTAAGTAACGTTGAATATGATTATTTATTGTTGGACGGAGTGCGCCATTTTGTTATACGAGTGGGTCGCGCCTCGGTGACCGCATACCGTGACAGCTCAGCCCACAGCTTCAATGTCCGGGTTAGATCGCATATACAAACTCCTTTACCGTATTGAATAATATAACATTTTAAAAGAACAAGTAACTAAAAGTCAAAAGTTCTACTAAGCAATATTGTCAACTATCTTATCTGTTATTTTAGGGTTACAATAAATGAACAGCAATCGACTGTTTGACGCTATCTGTGTACGCCTTAAAATATTCTTGTTACGTCGTATTTTGTTTTATATTTCAATTTAATAGTTTCTCCTAACAGTGGCACGTGTTTGACAAAACAAGTTCGCAAGAATGGATAGGCCTTTCACAACGGGTATAACTAGTCTTGATATTAGGCAGTTGCGAAGTGACTAAGAAATGCTATAACGCGGAAGTGAAAGGTCAAGTTATTGTCGTGTTTAAAAGACAAGTGTAAATGTTTGTATCTTGTAACTAAGTACTTGTAAGTTGGAGTACATAAAATATCTCTAAGTTATACCTAGAGTCGAGTTTTGTAGTCGTAGTATACCGGAGTAATAAATGTACGTTTAGAAGTTAATAAATCAGAATGTCGTAAAAAAATCGTTATCAAGTAAAAGACATCAACGAGTCCATTCTTATAAATATCATTTCAGTCAAAAAATTTAGTCTATTTTTAGTTAAATAAGACATAGTGAGAGGTGATTTCAAGTAGAAATAGCGTCTAGTATTTCTTAGAATATCAACTAATGTTCACAGTCTATTTAACGTAATCCGACCGCTGCCATTACGAAACGATCGGTCATGACGAATTGCACAAATCGTTGCAGTGTTTGGTCATCCCGACCAGCATACACTGACCTCTCTTGGCAACATACACATAAGTTTATTGAACCGAATTAATTCATTTGGAGGGTCACGCAACACTGGATACTCGCGACTATTTGTAACGCTTGCGAGCCTACTTTTAAGGTCAAGGATGTATATTATACGTACTCTTACATGAGACACAAGGACGCGATAATGGTTCTTATTAACTGAGCATTATGTGCTACATTCACATCCGCTAATGCTTAAATTGTAACATAGTCTATAATTATAAATATTGAGGTTGTTCAGGCGTTTAAAAAAATATAGAGTAAAATAGAGAAAAAGATTGGACAACATACATATGGAAAAGAATTGAAAAAAAAACGCCTAGAAACTTTACTGGTTGATGGGTTATGGTGTCATGACTGATCATGATCTTTCATGACTAGTCATGATCAATGTACCGTAGGTTTCCATTGCCCAACTTAACAAAAATATTACCTTTATTCGACTTCATAAAACTAAGATTTTTATAGTGGATATATGGTAACGTAAAAATGTATGTTCTATAGTGTAAACAACATAAAAATCTTTGCGCTTAGCATGTCGCCGTACTAATGCTACTACGTGAGAAGAAGCATCGTACGATGAATGACAATTTATTTGAAAAAAATCCACTTTGTGATGTGAATGTGCGATTGTTTGTAATCCTTGACTATTCAGACAATGGTGTGTTAACAGAATAATTGAAAAGTTTGACATTACATTTAACATTCATAGTTATCTTAATAATTATTTAGTATTTGAATACAAGAAATTTATTGTTATTTTATATTAAAATTATATATTAACCTTGGCAAGAATTTACAATAATATTTAAAAATAAAACGTTAAAGAATTTGGATTACCTCGTCGTCCTTCCCTTTCCATAGAGAAGGAAGAGTGAATATTCGGCAGTGGAAGGATGGATAGGTAATGGAAATATAGTTAAAAATGACCTATTTATGATTTTACAACCTTGTTTTGGTAACCTATTGTATAATTTTTAGATCGGGTTTTCTTTCTTTATAGAAACGCAATATTTATCAGTATGGCTTTGTTATTGATTGAATTATACCGAAGCAGTACAATGCCTAGGTAATACTCGGAAAGTGTTTCGTGTTCTATATAAATTCTAATTGCATAGTTTCACCACTATCTATGTGGGTCAGCGACGATCAATGACGTTGTATTAATTCACGCAAACTTAATTATTAATAACTGTACATTAATTATTTATATATATTAGCAAATAGTACCATAACACACATAGAGAATAATGATTTAAATGTAAAATGACGATTTTTTGACGAAGTTCCAGAACTTATTACACAATAAACAATGACGTATATTGCTAGAATTATTAACAAAGAGGTTTGTTTCTTTTTCGTGTCCACGCGTAATGATCTCTTTTTAGGATTAATGTTTCAAACAACGAAACTTGATCTGGGCGATTAATCAAATTGTTTCTTATTCGTGGGCGCAGGAATGCGGCTGCGGCGCCGCCCGCCTACACCGTGCCTGGGCTTAGCACGTGTGTTTGCGACTATGCTGCCCTCTGTTTGAAATATGTGTGCTTGGCACCTATGTGCATTTTTATTATTACAAGTGCAATGAACTCTATCGAAATCAATGATAGGAATTATATTGTTTTATTTAGAACAGAACATGTATTTAAAAATACTCTTAAATCAGGCAATGCCTTTAAAATAAACAGAAAACGAAATGAAAAATATTACTTAAAACTTGTAAACTTTATTAGCAAGATCCGCACCTAGATTGTTTTTGTTATGATGTTTTTGACAGGCGCTTTAAATTTTTTCTTACTATTGTACATTTTGTGCGTATGTATTGGATAAATATTGAAATAATATCTTATTGCAAAAAAAACAAACCTATTTCTAGTCTCCAAAATTAAAATCCTCGGTATCTATTAGTTACAAACGCCATCTATCTAGAAAATTGGATAACTATCAAGTTGTTTACATTCGGCGGCATATAGATGGCATATAAATCAAAGCTTGAAATTAAAAAAAAAACTAACCTTTGTCATTCGATTTTTGCTTCGGAGTTTTCTGCCACTGATGCCGAACCTTCTGCGACCAGCTGATAGGACTCTTTCTTCCGCGACTTCTCTCGCGAACGCTGCCACGAATAATTTCCATTATATTATAGTAATTATTTTATTTATTTCTTTTGACTTGGGGAAAAAAGCAATTTGCAAAAATGTGTTAAACTTCGCTCCACTTTATACCGACTGATTTAGTTTCAAACAAAATTGTAGTATCAGAATCTGATAATACTGTTTGCTTTGCTCTTCGGGGATTGCATTAGGCGCCGCAACATGTAGGTCATACTATCAAATATTGTCGCATTTTCATTTGAATAGAAACATGTTTGTTAGCATTTTCTATCGAAGAATAAAAAAACTATTAAATAATTAATTAATTATAATGAATTAGTGACATAAAATTATATTTTAGTTACCTTCTAACAACAAAATACGATAGTACTGTGAATGCTACTAATCATGTTAAAAGAACGCATGAATGTGACTTACATAACAATTTTCTGCTCATCAGTTTTTTCCTCATCGGACACATCGACCCAGTCGTCGCTGCGATCACTCCTGTCACTCGTCGTACTGCTCGGCACTTGGAAGGCGATCTCCTGCCCGTTGTAGCTCAAGACAGACCGCTGCCCGTAGATACTATTGGTCTTCTGCTCGCTGGACAACGTTGACTGGCTAATGTTGGACACGTTATCGAAGGATAAGCGCTTCTGAACCGCACTAGCCAGCTGCTTCTTTAAACTGTTTCTTAGTTTTACCATGCTCGGACTGTTTGGAATGCTTTCGTAGCAATGTGATAGTGATGTACTGTCTGCCTGCTTGATTGTGTCGTAAATGTTCTCACCGTCATTATAACCTGTGTAGTTTGATGATACAAAAGAATGTCTACTGCTGTAGTCTGGACTACTCTGGTTTGATTCAACTTTGGTAGGAATTTTTTCGTATATCCTTCCCGTGCCGATCTTTTCGTAACTTTCAGTGGACGTACCGCTGACTGACTTTGTAATAGCATAGTTTTTCGTGTTGTCTTGTGGGCCGTAAGGTCGATAGTCCTCAGCTATTTGTATGCCCGAGCTGGAAGTGACGCAGTATGGTTTGATGGGCGATTTACAGTACTCATAGCCATCGTCACTGTCGCCGTCCCCTCGAGTTCTCTCTTCTAATTGATTAAAACAAAGCTCATAATTATGTAGACTACTTTCGTCTCCCTCTGGGTGGGATCTAGCTTCTAAAAGAGTTTGATATATGTTTTCCTCTTTTGATTTTATAGACGGCGATAACTGACATTCCTGTTTTGGTATTTCAGGAAGAGGACAGTTTATTTTCGACGTTCTATCTATACTTTTAATAGGAATTATTACTACATTATCCGCGTCTCTCGGTTCTAATATTTCATAGTCGTCTTCGACTACCTCTTCTTTTTTTGGTTTGGAAGTAAAACCGACGAGAACTTCCTTGTTATAAGCCTCGACTAGATTGCTTTCGAAATCGGTGTTAGAATCATTTTTGATATTAACTGTTAAAGTTTCATTATGAGATTCGTTGTTTTCAATATCTTGAGATTCGTTTGAAGTATTATTTTCTTGTTCATATGACATAGTGTTTTCATTAATAGTTATGCTAACAAAACCATAAGGACCTTCGGAAAATGCTTTATCACAGTCAGAATAAACCTGAGTGCTACCTTTTCGGCGCCAGAGAAAAGATTCGTTAGGAGTAATGCTTGAATTGATGTCTTTTTCATCTTCTTTGCACGTGTTACTTGTAATGGTTATAGTTTGTTCGTGTGAAACAGTTTTAGATTCTGAAGATTCATTTATGTCTTCTTGAATGATTTCCACAGGATGTAATGTAAGTTTCTCTGGATGTATGTAATTAGTTTTAAATTTCTTTCTGTCGTAAATGGGTTCTTTCTTTTTGTTTATGTCAATACTAGGTATGTTGTTATCTTTTCTCGTAACGGCGTCTCCTAAATTTGTTTTGATTGTCTTAATTTTTGGCACACCATCTTTAAGTACAAGATTTTTTGTTAAAACTAGTGATGATTTCTTTTCAGGTACTTTTGGTTTTTCTTTTCGTACAATTGTATTTGTATTGCTTTCAGACTGGTTATTTTGTTTTTTAATAGTGCCATTGAAATTTGATTGTGCATTAATCTCACATTCGAATTTCTTTATAACATTCTTGACTACATTAAGCTCTTCGGGTTCCTTCTCGTCATTCGATATATCATCAGCCTTTTGTTTAGTCGGTGTACCGTCAACAGAGTCAGAACCGCTCTGTTGTCCACTTGAATCTTGATACTTTAATCTCTTTTTTGGCGATTTCGGTATTTTGGTGCCATCTGATTTAGATCTTAATATCCTAATTTTACTCGAAGCGTCTTCTGTTAAAAGTAACTTGTCAATAGAATCCATACTGGAACATCGTTTTTTATTATTCCGTTTTTTAGAACTTTTCCTGTGTCGGACAACAATTTTAATATTAGGACTAGAGCTCAAAGTTGAAGATGGAGTTGAACTGTTGCTGACAGAATATCGGGATGCTGCTTGTAAGTCTTCAATTGTCTTTGCCAGCTTAGATTGTGTTTTGGGTGCCGTATTTGGTTCTTTCATTAAATCGTTGAATTTCTTGGTTAATTCAGAAACTTTGTTACTCGTTATCGTCATATTTTTTGTTCCTAACGGTGGTCGTCTATAGCCTGTGGAGCCGTTTTTAATTTTGAAACTTACTTTTCTCTGTTGTTGCTCTATTCTTCTCTTTACATTAATTGGGTGATGTGGTGAACCAAATGGCGTTTGCTTGTCTTGTTCTTTTACGTGACACTTTGTCTGTTCAATATCTTTTCCTCCACCTGTACTTCTGGTATCTTCGCTATCTGTTGTGATTGCAATTTGCGCATAATGTAATGTAGGTTCAACATCAAAATTCCTTGAAGGTGTATTAACTGTAGAATTAAGGAAGGCTTGTTTCGCGTCACTCATTGTTGGCCTCGATTTTTTTGGTGACAATGAAGATTGTATGGGTATTGTATATACACATCTGTCTCTATCATCGTGTTTGTCTTTAACGGCCATGTCTGTTTCTGGTAAAATAAAGTTCTTGATTAGAGCCTTGATAGTGCCGTGTTCTCTGCCTTCGCTGTTAAACCTCTCGATCGATGAAATCAATTTCTTCGCGCTAATAGATTCCCCTTCCATGAGATTGTTTAATAGCATTTGTGATGGATATCTCTGACTGGTTCTCTACGCCATCTGGAACAATTAAAAATATAATTAACATTTATTGAAAGTTGTTATAAGTAAATGTTGACGTAAGAAATAATTGAGTGCAATGAACTCTCGTCTTGTAAAATTACGTTTTTTTTATGTCAAATGAAAGTGCATTAATTTCAATGTAAATAATGAGTTTTCACATCATTTTGATTGGATTTTCACGTGCCGCGTTCAATTGTTTACGTGGTTGATTCCCACGAGATTGCATCCGCGATTTGATCTACAAATATGTAAGGCATACGGATGATTAGCTAACGTATGCTGGAACACAAAGAGAATTCCCACCATTCAACAATATAGCTACCGAACGTTGTAACAATTGGTAGATTGTAAACGTTACGGCCAAAAAACTTAAAATAACAAGTACTTGTACTGTAAATTAGCAATACTAAAATTTTTACCAATCTTTGTTGCCATAGATTTCAAGAGTTTTGTACTTGTCATATCCGCGAAAAATAACGTTCGCCTAACAACGCAATGATGGTAATTAAGTTGGAAGGTAAAGCTGTATAAATTCCTCTATAATCTGGATTGCAGGCTAATCCCGACTTTGTTTGACATTACATAATGAGAAAACTTATGTCTTTTTCTTAGTTAATTGCCTTATATGTTTTTACTTTAAAGATTAAGGTCTTTATTGAAACAGCATATAAAAACAATTAACAATTATTAAACGATGAATAAAGTTCATCGTTTTGTCTTTATAAAAGTGCTTATTAGGACAATGTTGTGGTACATTTGAATGACAAACGACAATGGATGTTGTGAACACAGACATGTGTGGCGTGGACAATGAGACTGAACTGTGGACAATAACTGGGTATTCAGGTGATACAAACGCTAAGTCAGTGAATCCAGTACATTTACGGTTCTCAACATACAACTCTTTGACTTTATTTGTTTTAATTTTATAAAGAAAGTTTCAAAAGTTCCAAATTCAAATAATAATTTGTTGCCATACTTAAATACAGTAGAACTCTGTTAATACGTCAATTTGCATTGATCCCTGCAACTAGAGACATATTTTCATACATTTCTTAACGCTTAATAGGATCATTCCGTTTAATACGCCATCACGCGCCGCACTTTTCCGAATTCCCTTAGAAATCGTCTTATGAGGGTTCTACTGTATGTCTATCAAGTTGATGGACATCATTGTTCTTTTATTTTAAATGTGAATTTACAAAATAGTTTGTATGTAAAATTATAAGAAAATTAGTGTACAAAAATACTCGTTTTAAAAAAAGAATAGAACAAATGAGAGAGTATAATTTCATATTTTATTTTAATTTATTTTTCCTATTTTCAAAGTTGTCTTAGATTAAACGTAATTATAAAATGATTTAAAACTATGTTAAATAACTTCAATGCTCCCCTCGGTTGCTTAATATCAGAAATATCGTTACTATAACAAACAGTATTTCTGTAACAGCCGCCATGTGCGAATCGTTCACCATGCGTTGTCGACATAACACAATTTCCGTTAATATTACGCATACTAAAATATGTTAACATAAAGTGCATTTATTTCTTTGCTCGTATAAACATCGTGTTTAATATATTAAGCTTAAAATTAAGTAGTAAATAAGAGACAGGAAACGATTAAAAGTTAGTCATGATTGTGGATAGAACCATCAGTTATCGGGAACAAAGCGGGGGTCAAATCGTGCAGGGCAACGCTTTCACCGCTTGTGATAGTAACAAGTGGGCGAATTAAACTCGTTACAAATCTTACATGAAGAAACATGTCTAATTCTGAGTTTCTTTTAACGAAAAATTTGTACAAAACATTGTCTATAACAATTGTTATCTCTCGCATTCACTTTGAAAAAATTAGGATCATAATCAACCCAATAAGGGCTATTCCTAAGGAGGGTAGGCTAAGCATATACTATTCCTCCATATCTCTATCAGCCGTCATATCTGAATCTACTCCCTTCTTACGCATATCCTCGTTCGCACAACCCATCCATACTTATTTTGGTCGTTCATTATCATCCCTATGAATAAAATGTTCAAACCACGCAAAAAATTGGGATAACAGAATTTTTAGGTTAGAAAGTAAAAAAGATCTTGTCTGTTTATAGATTGTCGATGTCTCATGCGTCGTGAATCTTGATTCAAACAAGGCTATGCTATTGTTAAATAAGTATACGTTTTTATTAATCAAGGAATATTTACTTATATTTATTACTGCACCTTTATGGTTAAGGTCTTAGCAGTTATTTTAATAACATTGTTAACATTCCTGCAAATACAATAGGCAAGCAGCTACTGAGTTAAATTACATTTTCCTTATTAAAATGTAAACATTATTAGTGTCTTCTAGAATTTTCCTTAATTAGTTAAACATATTTGAAATCCAACCGAATGACATTTATAAATATTACTAAAAACTAAATTGAATACCATAAACAAACGTCAACTTTTTTTATAAATAAATAAAATTGCTGATAAACAATTTTATTTAACTCGGGTTAATTATATTGACCATAATATGCTTTTAAGTTAAAAAGTAATACATACACGGCCATTTGAATCTTTAAACCATCTTAAAGAGAGTCATTCATGGCAACACAGAAACCCAGATAAAACAAAAGAGCGCATTCATTCGGAATAAGAACTGTCAGTTTTTGTTGACCTTGCAAACGTCTGTCAGCATAACTGTATGCTGATAACGGCACAGCATTTACTGAACACTGTTGAATGATGTCTCCATTTACTTTGAGAATCACAAAAACGTTAATCGCAACGTGACAAGCAACATCGATTTCAATGTTTATGTGCAGACAATATTGTAACTGTAAATAGTCGTAATTTGTATAGTACAGACTAAACCTTGCTTGCCAGCTTCCAACAATATTGCTTCACCCTTCAGCACTGCGCATTAAGAAAATCGACCACTACAATTACTACTAATAAAGGTTTTTTCCCCCAACTTACAAGCATCTCCTTAATACTGTTCATCACACCATGTCTGCAGTTAAATTCAATTTTAATCTTGTATCTCAATTTCTTAACAGCTTTTTTCTACAGACATTTTTAATAACTACGTCACAATCTTACTTCTTAGTAATATTATAAATGTTTAGATGGATGGATGTTTGTTTGAAGGTATCTTCAGAACGGCAGAACGGATCTTGATGAAATTTGGCATACATATAGAACAAAGTCTGGAAAAACACATAGGCTACTAATAATGTTTTTTTTAATTCCGCGCGGATGGAGTACCAGGAAACCACTCGTATATAATTAAAAAAAACAAACCCTGCTTAAGAAGCGACATCTGTTGAGGGAATGAATACAAATTAAATTGATGGTTACACTTCGAAAGGATGCTCTCACGATATACTAATAGCGACAATTATTTTTAAAAAGTAAGATCACCATAAATATAATTTTAACGCTTCATATTTTACTACGTCTTAGTTTCACATGAAAAATACTGAATGTCACTTTTAATCATCGAATAATTAATTTTAATCAACAAATATTAAATCTTTCATTAATTAGCGGTAATGAGAATTATAATTTATTACAAAATAATTGTTTCGTAGTGAATCATTTGCAAATGTAAATAGAATTCGATATAAAATAAAATGTAGGCATAAGTAATTATCAAAGAGAAATTTTATTATTATTATGATATAACTGAAAAGTTTATGTAAAACAAGATGTTAAGTTTTGATTTATTTACACCACCTTTATAAATGTACTGGCTATAAGTTATTGTATTTTGTGCCTATTCGATTGTAGCCATTTTTGCGCTGACGGTAGCGGTTTATAGCGATGGTTTGGTTAAGAAATAAACCAATAGAAAGAATTAACTGACACGACACATTAAAGATAACGTGAATTTTTTTTTGTATTGGAAATGACAACACTAAGTAAATTTCTCTCTTTCTCTTTCTCTCTCTTTCTCTCTCTAAAAAAACTCCGAGAAAAAGTCTCCGAAGGCTTTTTTTTCGTCTTTCTTTTCTCTCTGATTGATCTACAGGTACGAATCTTAGACATTTTCTTTTAAAATGTAGGTTTTGGAATGATTACTATTTATTCTATGTTAATATTTAACAATATATTGATGGAAAAGTGTCGTATGCAATCTATTTTTGGATCTACAAAAAGTTTCACTTCGGAAATTGAAATGAGAAAACAACCGACGTATAGAAAGCAATCAATTTTCCATTACATAAACACACAATAAATTTGTATGCAAATGCTTATATATTTCTAAATCCAAATGCTTACGATAGTGTGAAGTGACCTAAATTAGGTACTTTTTTCATGTAATATTATACTAACAAAACCATTTGGATTACATTACCTATTGCAATTATTGCTTAGTTACGAATATTAAATAAAAATTAAATATAACCTCTTTAGAAGACTTTTATGTAAAAAAATTTAGTTCTGTAGTTTTTGTGAAACATTAGAACCAGTGTGATTGTTTAGCTACAGTTAGTAAAAAAGTAAAGTATTATTTTTAATACTACTGTAAATCTAAAAAGGTTGTTCTAGAAAGAATTTTGTTTTTAACTCTAATTCTAACAGCTGTTTTAAAAGCACCCAAACGGAACCATGGCATATGGCAACCTTCAATGTAATAACTATATTTATATACGAAACGTAACAATTTAACACTTGATAATATCTCTAAATATAATTAAATATTTGATATGAAAACATAATCGTATCTCGCTCTAATAATTTCATACATTAACATAAAATATTCACTATTATTTCGCTGCACGGCCTTGAGATAGAAGAGTGCGATTAAAAAACAAATAACTTGGCACATCTTCCGTCCCTCTCTGGCAGGCACGACGAAGTGCAAAAACAAAACGAATTTAATATAGTAGACGAGTATTGCTTGGTGCAATGTGGTGAGGCAAGCCGCGTTCGGATCGCTGATTACGATAATCGAGGAATATTCATTTTATTACACTAGTGTATTACAATAAAAGTAATTATAACACATT